AAAAAAAATCAGTGCAGTGTCTCAAAAAAGGCATTACAAGATGCTTAAGCTATTACAAAAACAGATATAGGGGCTGGAGTCAGAGGACCTGTTTTTTCACAACTGTGTAAAAGGGAATCTTGGGGGTGCCATGTAAAACTACTAGTTAAGAAACACTAGAGGAGAAAACAGCAAAGGTAGATAGTGGGATCGTTACTATTGTCTTGTACATAATCCACTGCAACTGCACCACCAGAAAGTTGCTTTTCCAGGATTTGGTCACCTTGGGATCCTGCCACCAAAGCGAGCCACTGCTAGTTGAAGGTGGGTGAGGTGCTTCAAGCTAGGAATCATTCCTTGCTGATAGAATCAGAGCTCCCAAGCAAGCTCAGGCAGCTCCCAAACCCAGGCGCTTGCCAGTAGAACTGAAGTAAACCTTACTAAGAGAGGATAAGAAACAAAGAGGCTTCCACGCCTTGCCTAGTTCTCTGACTGCGGTGTTCATAGCAGGTAACATCCTCCATTTTAATTCAGTGGAGGCCCAAATCTTCCATACAACACTAATATCAAAAAGACTGTTTCTGTGCAAGCCCGTCCAACGCTACATAACCAGGATGTCATTTGGATACCCTGCAAAACTTTCCATTGACTCCGATCATACTTTGCAAAAGGAACTGTGACACATGGTAGAGCTGTCCTTGGGAAAAATCACTGCTGTGAAGGGAAACATTCAACAGTTCCCTTTAAGAGGGCTTCTGAAGTGTGTGTAGCTCTTCCTCTAGCAGCCTGTCATTCTCCTTCCTATGAGCATTTCTTGAATAAGTGATAACAAAAACTTTAAAGCTGTTCTTGTCAATATCTGGGAATAAACCTTTGAAAACAGAGGCAGGACTGGAGAATCACTGGATGACCTAAAACAAGCTGTACACACACAACTCTTGCTTACACCGTGACCTATGGCTGCATAAACACTGTACACCCTACTGTGCTATGCATGCCTGTATATCTTGGAAACAGCTTAAAGAAAGCAGCTGCACAACTGATTTTATGCCAGGTTTCCCCATTGGTTTCCTTTTCTAAATAATTCCTTCACCTTAGGCCTCGCTGTTGTGTTTGGATCGAGACGTATCTGACTGCATCTAAAATTTACATTAATTATACCTACAATTACGCTCATTAATGAAACACTAAAGAAGAGAGAGGATTCTTCCACATGATTTTCTCTTTTTGGAACATAAGAAGGGTATTTTATTCTTCAATTGCTTTTGTAATCATCTCCTGATAGCTACAAACGCCCGATGTCCATTAAAGCCAAAGGAACCAGACCTCTACTCTAATAAATTAGCATTCCTCCACCGAGTTCTGTGTAACTTGACTGACCTCAAAGCCATTAGCTCACCTTACACTGAGAGAAGTCTGAATAATGTCCAAACAATGACTGTCACAGTTAACACTAGGAGAAATTGTGAAGAAAAGGTGCTTTTAAAACCAAACTACAAGAACAAGTTGGTAGACAGAAAAATACAGAATTGTAAGTATTGTGTGTTCATTCCACTGCTTTAGAATACCACATCCAGCACTACTGCCCAAAAATTCAAAAAGTTGGAAAGCTTAAGATGGCTTAATACAGATAGGCAGAATGGATTGAAGGCAGGAATAAATGCCTTGTAGCGTGAGCTTCAGTGTGAACTACTAAAATCTTTAAATGTAGACCTGTAACTTCTTTGTTTATTGCTATGGGGGCATTCACAAGAAGAAAGCAGCAAACATTTGAGGCTCTCTAGTCTGTCTAAATAAAGACATAATCAAAAATAACAGCAGAAGTTGTAGCCACACAAAATGAAACCAGGAAAGAGCACGGCAGCTCAGCATTCTGGGGCACGGCCAGAACCAGCAGAAGCCCACAGAAGAGATTATGGTCTAGAGGAAGAGCTCCACCAAGACAACATGATGTGAGGCCTTTACATCTCAAAGAGGATTTAGCTGCACAAGTATACTCTAGAAAAGCTTACCTCAACATATATTGGTTGATTTATCAGATACAATGAGGACAATCCAACACGGACACAAATAAAATACTTGTCACCCATGCAAGGAGAAGGTATTTATTTCATAAGCAGTTTCAAAACCCTCAACTCTGATTTGGATGGTTGGACTGGATGATCTTGTAGGTCTTTTCCAACCTTGACGTTTCTGTGATTCCGTGATTCTGATACACTTCCTCCTGAAGCCAACAGGCCTTTAATGAGAATGAATAGATCAAAGCAAAAACCCCTACATAGAGTAAGGAGAAATCCAACCTTGAGGTAGAAGTAAAAATCCAAACAAAGACATACCATATTCTACACAATAGTGTACAGGAAGGAGAAAAACACTGGACCATAGACATCTTTGCAAATCCTAACTCGGTGGCATTACAATGCGGAGGCACAAAAGAACCTGGACTTCTGAAGTACACTCATGTAAGCTAAGTCCTCTTTAAAAAGATGTTTGTGGCCCTCAGAAGGACATAGGACCCTGACAGTTCTCACGTAACACACATAGTGGTTTACCTACGAATGGTATTTTAGAATCATAGAATAGCTTGCATTGGAAAGGACCTCAAAGATACAGTTCCAACTCCCCTGCTGTGGGCAGGGTTGCCAACCACCAGCTCAGGCTGATGTCCCATCCAACCTGGCCTTGAACACCTCTGTGGATGGGGCACCCACAGCTTCTCTGGGCAGCTGTGCCGCTGTCTCACCACACTCTGAGTGAAGAATTTCTTCCTAATCTAAACCTCCTCTCTTTCAGTTTAAATTCATTCCCTCTTGTCCTCTCTCTTCTCATTTACATGAACAGTATTAAAGTAATTGTTGATAGCAGTCATGATGACATTTTGATTTGGTTTTAACCCAACATCATCCAAAGCTTCAACATGTGAATGGGATCCTGCAGCATCAACATTGCGGACACACCAGGCAATAAGACATAGGCCAGATTTTCACTTGGTCTAGAGCACAGCTGTAAATACAGAAAGAATTTTCAGACCTTCCAACTATCTGCACAGAAAGGGAAGTGGAGCTTGGACCTTTCAGCCAGATTTACAATATAGGAGCGCAGGGGCACCTACTGAAAAATACACACATTTTGCAAGATCCTGGTTAACGGCTATGCTGCTTTGTGTCTGCAAACCCTGTGGAACAGAGCTGAGCAAAACAGCCCAGGCTGCTCCAGACCTTAACTACCTCCTTCTACCTGCATCTTGACATGCCAGACTGTAATATATATTTTGAAGGCAACTTATGAATTTTAAAACGGCACTATGAAACCAAATTCTTTATTAAAATGACTTGATTTTAATAATCATTAATTACTAAAGGTAGAAAAGAAAACATATGGGGATAATGTCTTTGTTTTAAATCTCTGAGAATACTTCAAAACGCAGAAGAATCACTTCTGATTGGGAAAAGATCTCTTTACTGTGAGGCTGACAGACACTGGAACAGGCTGACAAGAGAAGCTGTGGAGTCTCCTTCTCTGCAGATATTCGAGACCCATCTGGACACTTTTGTGTGCAACATGCTGTTTAGAAGACCTCCAGAGGTCCCTTCCAACTCCTACAATTGTGTGAGGGCCACAGATGTGAAGATGTGGCTGTAGGGATGGGAGAGCACCTTCATGCTGCCATCGCTCTGTATAATAGGCCTGTTACCTCACGGTAGGGCAGAACACACGTGGGGCAGAACACATGGTTCCCTTGCTGTGCTGCATTCCTGCTCTCCCAAAGAAACACAGAGAGCACAAGGCCCTGTTGCAGCCTGTTCCTGCTGCAACACCTCTCCACTTCAATGCCCACTGAGCTGAGCTGTGCTCAGTCATTGCCTTGCTGGTGAACCCTGTATTTCTGAAATAGGTTTGCACTTTACTGGTAAATGCTATCCCCATGAGTGCTGCCACTGTCCAGAAAGAAGAAATAACATGCTGCTGTTGTCAGAGGGCGGTGAGTCCAGACAAGCACTCTGGAGGGGGCACACAGAAGCACGTCCAGCTGGCAGCACGGGGGACTGCTTCACAGTTCCCTAATACTTTAGAAGCACAGAAGGGATACTTTCACCCAAAGACCTGATTGAAGAGGATGCACAACAGGTCAGAATAATCCCTGTTAAATGTTTTGATTGCTCTACAAAATATTTACCCTTTTAAAAACCCAACGCTTTTTTTTTTTTTTCCTAATTATTATTCAAAAAGTAAAAGAAGCTTTAAGAAAGGTCTTCTTGCAGCTCTGAAGTTATCAAGCAATTCCCATAATTCATCAAGGAGGCTAAAATAGGCAAAACAATAGCACCTCCTATTTTTTTTTCCTCCATTCACACAAACTTGTTTGAACAAGCAATAGCTTCATCAAGGGATTACCGGTATGGTCAGGGTAGACAAGTTAAAAGAAAAACCTGAACTGGAGCAGCAATCTCCAGCACACAGGCTGCACCCGTCATCAGCAAGCTGTTTGTGTGCACCTGGAAATCAAGCGTTAGGGAATGGATTTGATTTGTAGGAAAAGTCTGACCAATACACTGGAGAGAAACCGATAAAAGGTGGTTAATAGCAATATCCATGCAAATACAACCAAAAATTAAACTACAGTTTGCCTGAATACAGTTTAATTGAACTCTGACAGCCAAACACAACTGTCAGCAAACAATCTGTGCATTGCAGGGGAGTTGGACCAGATGGCTTTCGAAGCTCCCTTCCAACTCAAATGATTCTGTGATTCCATGACCAGGAATTTTCTTGTGTGCTCTCCTTCTGTGCATTCTTTGCTCTTACTGGCTCCATTTTGGCACGCTGCAGCCTCATCCAACACTTTCATATTTGAAAGCACAGAACACACTGCAACGTGATAAATCTCAAAAGAAATCTGTATCTCACATTACTGGGCTCTTAATCCTTTTAGGTGTGTGCAAAAAAGTCAGTGCTGACACATTAAAACTGCCAGGTGCTTGCAGTGGAAGCTGCAGGGTTTCACAAGGGGTCCGGCCACACCTGTTTGTAGAAATTCTCACACTCCTGAGCGGGACTTTTGCCACTGGGATGAGTCACTGAGAGCAAAGGCACCATTTGCAGAGACAGCGGCTGGTGGCTACACGCATGTCTGCACTGCTCACTCTGGGAAAGAGGTGCACCTGGAGCCCACAGCACGGCACGGCACTGCAGCCCCTCCAATAACAGCCACCCGAAACATGGCTGCGCATGAAAGCAGCTTTCATGCTTTCAAAGACGAACAGCTTGCAATGGAATTGATCTCTCACCAGTACCTATAAAAAAGGTGAGTTAGGAGAGGCACAGTGTGGTTTCTTTACCTCGTGGCAGCATTACCAGCTACTGATAAGAGCTGTTCTCCTGCTGGCTCTGCTAGCACTGCAGGCATTTGGCAGCTCAGGCACATTCCTTACTCTCTGCTTTCTGATAGTTCTGTTTGTCACTGGGGCAGCTCTCATGGCCAGCACAGCACAGCACAGCGATTCACCTTGGGCAGGATCCTGCAGACCACCACAAGGCCAACGGGATGGGCAAAACTGCAATTCTGAATCTGTTTATTTTAAATTTACCCAGTCTGCCAGCCCCCTGCAAGTAATTTCAAGGCTTCAGTATGAATTTCTGACTCCTTTTCTACATGTAAGGCACTGGCAGTACATCAACCTTCAAACATATCTTGTGTGTAAACCAATTAATTCTTGCAGCAATGCATTACTTGGTAACCACAAATCTTATGCTCTTTTTATTATTTTTTCGCCTGATCTCAGCCATGACAAATAAAACTGCAAAACTTGCTACTGTCTTCTTCTCTGCTAGCATCTCCCCATTGCAAAGGCATTGATAAATACTTGGTTGATGAATTTGCAGTTCAGGGGTGTGTGACTCAACGTCAAGCTGAGTATCTGTACCCAGGGCCAAGCTCATCTTGAGTTCCCAAGCCAGAAGAAACTGGGAACGTTGTAAAAGCACCTTGCTGAGCCCTGAGGGTAAGGAGCGGCTTATATTGCTCTGTGACTAACGTAACACTCAGCACAGACTTGTTTGGCAGAATACGCCCCAGATCTTACAAGACCAGACCCTATGTTGAATCCTACTGCGTTGAAAATTCAGCAACAGGAATTTTCCTCATTGAAAAAAAAGAAGCCTCTGTCTTCAGGTTTGGTAACTGACACTGAAATTTAGCATTAACAATATCAGGCTTAACAACCACCAAAACCAATTCCAGAGACCACGGTCCTGGTTCTGCAAGCACAACACACATAGGATTTAGAGCATTTTCTGCACGTGTGCAAAATTAGGCCTGTTTTTTTTCCATCATTTTTTGGGACACATCATTCAAGTCAGCACCAATCCAAAACAAATCTATGCCATGCGTAAGATGCAAGCATATAGAACGTATTGCAATTACTTATATAAATGTTATGGTCAGACCTCTTCACGTACATTATACATAAAATACGTATATGTATTTCAATCTCATTAGCAAGGGTCTTTAGTTCCACAGAAAGACGTTGGAATAAGGTGAAAAGGAACTTTCATTGTAACTTCCTTGCCAAAAAAGAGGTAAGAACATTATCTTACAGAGAGTCAATGAAAGTATGTTGATGGAAGACTGTTAACCTCTTCATCAAGCCTGTGCTAAGGAACCACTGAAAACTAAAGAAAGAAGCATCTAGCAAACTACGTACTTGTTTGCATTACCTAACAAAAGCCAAAGAATGCTAAGTAAAAGGCAAGTATTTATTCTCTAGTGAAAGCCAGACTAACAGGGAAGTCACACCACTGTAACAGTGCTGGAATGAAGTCAGGAAGAATAGTGAGGAAGCAACATGCTCTGTCATTAATTTTTCATGTCTGCCTCTTAAAAGCAGTATAACTCCTCGTAGTGGAGCATTGCTGGCAAAACGGACCCTCAAAAATGCAACACAGTGACAATACTTCGGAGTCCTAACACGCACTCTCCCTTGGTAAAGCACTGCATTGCTCTAATTATACTGCAATAATAGGTATTCTCGTATTACTGCAGCAGTAGGTGGACATGTCCCAGCAGCAGCTAATCAGAGGTACAAACGAAACCAAAGGTGAAATGAAGAACTAAGAATTGTGCAAAGCAACAAACAAATTTGGGAAGAACACAAGTTTGGTCCTTCATTCTTTGGTCCTGGGCAGCAGATGCTAAGCACAGCTCTCACCACTGGGTAGGGTCCCTAATTCCCAAAAGCCCGATTCTCAGCTGGCACACGTAACTTCGTGTAGCCTTCAAGTTGCCAGCTGCTGTTTGCTTACTGCATACACTGGACTCTCATCCTGCTGCAATCCGATCAGGATGTCCTAGCAATAAAGCCAGGGCTGGACTTGAACACAAACAGCACTCCAGAAGCAATGCTCAGTGGCATCAATAATGAGACCAAGAGGTCAACAGAACCACAGGTGAGCCTAACCACCTACCCGTACCCGTCGGAGGCGTAGTCCCCCCCGTAGGTCTTCTGGTAATAGTAGGTCTTGTGAGTGTGGGTGCCGCCGCCGCCGCCGCCCACCACATGGGAGCTCATCTCGTAGCGCAGGTCGGTGCCCGAATCGGCCCGCGCCATGCGGCCCAGCGTGTTGATCCGCGGGTGCGAGCCGCCGTTCATGCTCATGGCGGCGGGACGGAGAGAGGGCGAAGCGGGCAGCGGAGGGACAGCCGACCCACAGCCGGAGAGGAGAGCGGCATTCACCGCCCGGAGAGCCCGAGCTCAGGGGGCGGCAGGGCGGGCGGGGGCCGGGATGTGAGGGAGGGCGGCTGGGCGAAGCAGCGGGTCTTGGGTGGCGGCGGCTGCAGCAAGAGCAAAGGTCCCGTCCCGTCCCGTCCCCTCCCCGCCGGCACAGGAAAGGCGAAGCCACACCTTTCGACGGCGGTTTTAAGCGGCGGTGCGGGGCGTGGAGCCGCCTCGCCTTCAGCCCGGCCCGGCGCTTTCCCAGCCCGCCCTCCGCACCGGCGTGGCCCCGGCCGGGCTCACTGACTGCTTTGATTCCTTCACGAGTTCTCGGTGCGGACGTTGTGGCCTCATTAAAAACTTCCGATCGAATTTAGGCGAAATCTACCGCTTTCCTCATGGTACTGCCTGGCCTCCAGAGCGCTGTGGTGACGATAGCTGTAGGTGCACTAACGATTCCGAATACTATGGTACAACTCCGGAAGGCAACTTGAACTCAACAAAGACAGCACCTGTTAAGTCAGCGTGGTTATACCATGGACAAGCGTGCTCTGCACACAGCAGCCATCTCCCCGCTGATGTGCCCATTGGAAAGCAGTGTAAATGGTTCCACCAGTGTCCATAGACGCACTGGAATCACAGAATCACAGAGTTGTAGGTGTTGGAAGGGACTTCTGCAAATCATCGAGTCCAACCTCCTGCTAAAGCAGGTTGCACAGGAAAGTATCCAGGCAGGTTTTGAATCTCTCCATTGAAGGAGACTCCGCAGCCTCTCTGGGCAGCCTGCTCCAGTGCTCTGTCACCCCCAAAGTAAAGAAGTTTTTCTTCACATTCAGATGGAACTTCCGCTATTCCAGTTTCTGCCCACTGTTCCTTGCTCTATTGCTGCACACCACTGAAAAGAGCCTGGTCTCATCCATTTGGCTCCTGCGCTTCAGACGTTTATAAACAGCGTTGAGATCCCCACTCGGTATTCACTCCTCCAGGCAGAACAGCCCCAGGTCTCTCAGCCTTTCCTCACAGTGGAGATGCTTCAGACCCCTCATCATCTTGGTGGCCCTCACTGGACTCTTTAGAAGTTCCCCATCTTTCTTGGACAGAGGAGCTCTAAACTGGACAGGGTACTCCAGATGTGACCTCACCAGAGGTCCGCCAGGCAGAAGCACTGCCAATATTCCAAGCCCAGTCCATTTCTAAAAAGGCTCTGAAACCATCACATCCATAGATGGCTTTCTTGATGCCTGAAAGTTTAGTTTTAAAAAGTGAAAAATGTCAGATGCCAGAGACAAAATTGTTCTAACACATTTGGGTGTGTGCAGAATGTCAGCAAAGGCAGTTTGCTGTAGGATGCCCAGCAGCTCCTTCATTCTCAGCCACTGACTGCTGCTTTGTCTCAAGGACCAACTTGGAACCGTTTCTTACCTGTGTTTAACTGCACTTCATCAGCTGTTCTGGCCACTTGACCTTGATGTTAGAAAGCTGAGGAAAGATGGTCAAATTTTAAGAAGTATCTGTCACTCATGGATAAATCTGCCAAGGCATTCATCTCAAAGTGCCGTACAGCCAGCCAGCTATGTAAGTCATCCACATCTGTAAATTCTTGGGCCCATTTCTATCTTTCCTGCACCAGTTATTTTCTTGGTATTTTAGATCTGAGTGATAAACCACATCCCAACTCAAACACTTGATGTGTTTGACACATCTGATTCAAAAAGCAACTGAAAGAGAGCAATCCTCTGCAGTGCCGCTGTAAATGACAGAAGAACGTAACCTGCTGCTGCAGGTGGTGGTGGATGCGGCACAGTGGAAGCTAAGAGCTGTTCTGAGCAAATATGATGTTGCCTGGGGCTGTATGGAGTGCTACAAAGTAGCAAAATGCAAGTTGGCCATTAGTTGTGAAGTCACACAGTGACTTCCACATTGGAATATGTATTCTGTACTAATGAATTATTACGTAGCAGTGCATATATCAATTGATTGATACAGGTTTATGTATTCATGTGGATTTGGGGTGCTTTTTTGAACAAATCTGCACGAGTTGATGATTTGACGTTAGACTCCAAGTCATCAGGAAGCAGAATACAAAAACAGTAAGGCTGAGTAAGAACGACAGATACAATCCAGGTTTTCACTACACAGATATAGAGATCACTGCATTCGTGACACCTGCATATTTAAAAGTCAGATTTTTCAAGAGCTGATGCATTTATAAATACACAAATGGTAAGCATTTTTTTTCAGCAGGTCCCTTTGAAAGTTGTCTGTTTATATATATGTGTATTTAGAAATCTGAAAGTATTACAGTGATTTGGCATTCTTGCTGAGTTTTAGCACCACCTCCAATCAGCCCCACCTCTTTCAGCTTGGTCTAGTGTGCCAGCTCAGTGAGACACTCCATTATTTGTGATGGAGACAGCATGTATATGATACACCCAGAGGCCCAAATGAGTCATTGTTACCTGGACATGTTGAAAAATGTGCTTAAGTAGCAAATGGATTCTGTTGGTCCTTCTTGCACAATTAGCCCCTCTGGAATTCAGAGGAGAGAATAAGACTGAACTGACACTGAGAACAGCTCAGTGCTCCCATGCGAGCTACTTTCATGCATAGGCAGTAGAAATAAGTAAATACAGATATTTTTATTTTGCTGAAACAAAGTCAATTTTTGTAGGTGCTACCTGGAGGTGGAATTGGTGAAATTGGTTATCTTGAAACAATAACAAGTGACGTGGGCATAGCTTAAAACTCTACTTACTGTGGGAAAACATTAGAGTCATAATTTGAAGATACTGCTTTGACCTTGCTTCACTGCTCCTAGGAAGGGCCAGCCCTGACATACCTGAGGCCACATCCTAAGTTCCTTGATTTTCTTATACTTCAATGTGCTACTAAGACCAAATGTCCTGTAAACTCTGTGAGCCTTAGTGTTTTTTTCTTCCCAAGGAAAACTCCCTGCAGAAGAGAATGAAATGCAGTAATTTGGAGCTTCTTTCTCATGCCTTTTAGCAGAATGTGGAGTTCTGTTTCTTAATACATGGATTCATGAAAACTGTCTGGGTCTTAGAAGACTGTCTTTAAGCAAGTCAGTCTAAAGTAGA